TCCTGCAAAACCATTTTGCTATAGGAAAACTTTGATAAAGTTCTGTAGTTAAGTTTACCTATTATTCTCCATTATGTAAACATTATTACTTCTCAGTCAACCAACATTTCAAATCAAGTTACTAGTGTCGTCATAAAACATATCTATTACAATTGAATAAACAAAGTTTGTTATATGGTAATATAAAATAAACATTATGTTGTATGTTCTTACTGTACCTGTATTATTCGATAAAGTAGTCCAGGGCAAATATTCAATTCCGTCCAAGTGGTATTTCATTGAAAAAAATGATCGAATTTGGAGATTTTCAATACATATTGAACCGTTAAAAATTTCATTATTTGGCATACTCCAAGTACATTTAAATTGCATCGTAAATTGAGTCTTCGTCAATGCCTATTGAATTTTAATACCAACATTATGTTGATGTAAATTTTCTAGTTATTAAGTTATAGCATGATGGTAAATATATTTGAGGGATTAAATTACTCCGTTACATCGTTATATTGCTTCGATTCTTGAAAAATTTAAAAAGCATTTTATCCAAGGTGATATTCGGAATTTAATACACAGAGAGATATTAAAAATGACGAGCTCGTTACAACGAAGTCGATTAACAATAGAGGTATAATATAATTTCCATCGGGCGCCGTTGTATCCGGACAATGAATATTGAAAATGAACTGTAAGCGGGTTAAAGTTTTCCTTTTCATCGAGTGCTCTTAACCATTGGGCGATGACTGATCGTAATGAGTTTTTTTGTTAATAAACACTGTCTTATTCGCTTTCGATTCACGCGTTTAAGTACAGTGCATGACATACAAAATAATTTTTTTTAGAATGATTGCTTTTGGCTGACTCTGTTAGCATACTAAATAAAGTAGTTTTTATCGCATATATATGTGTCTACGATATCATTAGAAGTATATTTTCGATGACGAAATTTCTATAATGCAAACTGCTTGTATTGCAATTAAAAAAAATACATTACTTTGTGGTGTATTTATTATTTATTTTAGGTAAAAATAATAAAGTTGTACTACTTGTGTGTAAAATTTTTTTTGAGACACTAGTTTCAAAAAAAAAAACATTCATAATACTACAAAAAATGTTCTCGAAAATATAATTGAAATATTGTCATTTAAATTGTTGAAAGTAAGAAAAAATAAGTGTTCAATAACAAATAATATTGACTGCGAGATTGATTTTTAAAAACAGAAAATATCTTCTAGGAGGAATAGTTTGTTCCAATAGTTTATTATTATGTTTAATTAATTTCTAAACTTTATTATAAATTTTGTAAAAAAAAAATGTATGAGAAAATGTGGACATATTAGAATGAAAGGTTTTAAAATGTTAAAGTTTTATGCATTATCCTGTAGAGAAATGACTAAATGATAGTATTTTTGATTTGTTTAAGCGTTTTAAGTATAATTTACACGCATTTAGCTAAAAAACAACAATTTATGAGTGATATTTTGAAATAGTTAATTTACATGAAAAGTTACTAAAATTTGACTGACATTATCTTAAGTTTAATACGACGTTTTGTCCATTTTATATATACATATGTTATGCTATATTTATATTTTTTATTTTATATGAAGTTATGCATAACAAACTAGTTTTCAGAGATGTTATAACTCCAAGTTTAAAATAACAGGCACACAGAATCAGGATTTTTTCATACTTTATTAATTTAATACACTGAAGTAGCGATATTGCATATACGCATCGCCGTATCACATGTACATTTTTTTATTCATTAACTCTTTATCGTATTAGTATCAAAGCTGCTTTTGAAGATTCTTTCTCGACTCATGACATGTTTTCTGGAAAATAATTTAAGATGGTTAATTATTTAAAGTTAAATTGTAAACTTCTTAAAAGTTCCATTTTCTAGTAAACACAAATGTATCTTTTTATGAATTATCTATTCTAGTGAAGTGCTGTACTCAAATGAACTTTACAGACAATTTTAAAATCGAAATTTAAATAAAACAATGCAGTTTTATTATCAAATTAAATTTATAGTTGTGATTTAAATTTTTTATTTTGACGTTCGATTTGACTTTAAAAATGAATGTTAATCAACACTTATATTAACTAAATCAGTTAAGATAGTAAATGAAACTGTTCGAACTTCTTTGTGGAACTGATATGTGCTAACAATAGCCTGTTAATGTGTTTAAATGTTCTTATATGTCTTACATAACAGAAATATGTACATTTCAAGAAAATAAGGAAAAACTAACATTTTGTACCTCATTAAAGTATAATTTAGTCGTTTAATTGTAAATTAAACATCATGTCAAATGTTTTGTTTTTTTTTTTTTTTACAGAAGATTACAATTAATTGCTCATAAATCTTTTTATAAACTCAAAAAAAGTTAAATGTTTACAAATATCTTTAGTATTTATGGGAAAATTAAGATGCCAATTACTGAACAGAAATATTATACAGATTAAAACCTAAATGTTTTCCTTAAGATACTAATAACTATACCTGTTACGATTAAAAATGAGATACGAGTGGTATAAATTTTAAATCTTATTATTTGAAATATTTTGATTTTTATCTAATAGCTAAATTTAGCTCGAATATTAATGATTTTGCTTAACTTGAAGCAATAATATTGAGTTTATTGTACAAACAGTAATTATTATTAACGTTTATGGGCATCCACAAGAGGGACTTTTGTCCCTTTGGGTTTAAAATCTCTATCACTACTGGATTATTTATATCTGCGGGTTTCTACGATCAGCATTGTTTAAAATAATTTAAGTAAAATAATTTTTATATTAATAATACAATTTAAACCTTCGAATTCGTTTAGTTTATACCGAAGAAATACTTTTTTAAATTCATAATTAGTGATACAATACGAAATTCTTTGCACTGACGTCTTCGATCAAGTACATTCACAAATTTTCATTTGTTTAAAAAGTTTAGGATTTAAGCTGATAAAAGGAATTACTGAAACGTAAAATGTGCTCTTGTTGTTTTTGTACTGAATACTTAAAAGTTTTAACGTTTACGAACAGTTTAACCTAAGGTTTATATAAACTACTTCGATGAGAGATCATATTTTTTTAAAATACTTATTACAAATACATCAGATGATAGATATTGATTTATATTTAGAATTAAGCAAGAAATCTTAGTGAAAGTGTTTTACTTATTAAAACTCAAATATATTTTTTAAATAATTAAGTGAAAAAATGATTCCATAAAAGTATATAATTTTTGGGATAGAATAAATGATTTTAATTACTTGAAATAAAACTATATTAATAATATTTTATCGAACATATGGGATCATTTTACACCATCGTATTTGATTCATATTTGTTTTAGCATTGCTTAGACTTCAATGGAATGTACATACATTTGTTTACCAAATAATACTAATAATTAACTTGAAACGTAATTGCTGATTATTAAAATTTAAAAACGGATTATGAAGTAAACGTTCAATTAAAACTTTTTATAATGTTTGATTTTCTTTAAATAACTTTATTGAAACACCAAGTATTTCGTTAAATTTTAATGGAAGTTTCATTGAAAAATATTAATTTTATTAAATGTAGATATGTCATCTTTTTTCGAAGAAGTTATTTATACATAAGTAATTATGTTGAACTCGCTTGAAGTAAATAAGTCAAGTATAAATTTTCTTTGGATATTCTTAAGTTAATAATAATTTTCGTTTTAATTTCAATGCGTAGCTGAGAGGTATTAGTTTTACAATGTAGTTTTTTTTTGTCTAACTACAAATAAATATTACGCTTCATCATATAATTTTTTTCATTTTGATATAACTTTTTTTAAAAACTCACAAATGTAATGAAATTTTGATCAATAATATTTAAGAATTTTGTCTTTTTTTTTGTTTATTTTATAGAAATCTGTTTAAAACCTTAATTAAAAAAAAACTGCTTAAGCGCAGTAATATAAGTACATATATTTTTTTTATTGAAATGCTAATAATGTTCCGAAACGTCCGTGTTCTTTAAATCTAGACTAAATTAAATTTCTAGAGCTGTAATTTTGTTTTCGTTAAAATTATTCAATTTTATTTCTTCTAAATAATCGCATTGAAGCGTTTTATTCTAGTGATGCTAAACACTGTCACATTTCAATATTTACTGGAGTCTACTTTAGTAGACTCTACACTATACCTCCTCTATTCTGAGTATCCATTGTACTGGCTTTGTTATATTGACTATTTCAAAGAAAATATGAATAACGTTGTTATATTTTTAATTCTGAACAATTTTTTCGAGTTATATAATTCAATTTTTTATCGTTATGCATCTCTAAGACAATTTTAACAGTATCCAACATTGTAATATGAATTTTGATAAATTAGGATGATTATCTTTTAAAATAAAATAATTTTACTTAAAAATTTCTAAAGAATGAATTTATGCAATTTTGTTTTATTTTAAAGCAATTTATAAACTTAATTGAACTGTTATTGTGATTGCTAAAAAAAATATCAACGGTTTTAAGTTATCAATTTTAGCAAAATATTTTCAGGTAAAATCATTTTTTGGCAGTGACCAGTGTGTTCAAATAATTATGAACATTTATTTTCTAATTGTCCTGAATCTGATTACAGGATAAGTGTGATTGGATGGTAAGTAGTGTATCGATTAACGGCTATGTCTCTGTGTTCGTTTATCATTCCGTAAGGTGAACACAGTTAGAAAGCGGAAATATGGACGTGCGTGAGTATTAAAGTACAAAAGTACCTGCACATGTACACTCACCAACATAAACATAATATATATATATATATATATATATTTAAGCGCACATTAGAACAAAGGTAGAACGATAGAAGTAACAAGATGGAGTGGCGTTGGAGGGCACCAGAGGGATAAAGCACAAAAATCCAGTGAAAAATGAAAGCCCGCCACCGCCAGCGCTATAGGGCAACTTGTTGGTTCACCGGATTTAGAGGCGTACGGCGGCAGTATCAGTGAGCGGTGCACCGCCGGACGAACGGTCACAAGTTTACAGGAGAGAATTGAAGTTTAGTGGTACACATTTTGCAGAGTTCGTGAACGAGGAGACTTGTGTGTTTGTGCTTGCGGAGTGCGCGGGCGCGCCTTCCCCTTGCGTTTTACAACTGTGTGTTTGTAGATTTGTGTATGTGTTTGTGACCCTCCGCCACTATTGCTACTGCGACCACCTTCGTTAAATCATCGCAACAGGTGAGTACAACAAGTACCCTGCGGCGTGCGCTCTAAGCAATCACCGCATTACCAGTAGTTACAAGATATTATTATATTTAAAAAGTCTATTATTTCTGCACTGTTGTTTAATTGAAAAATAACATGATATTACTATTTCGATTATGTTCTAACATAAAAAAATCTAGATAGAAAAGTCTTATTAAAGTGTTCGTTTAATTGGGCATTCTGCTTACAATTAATGGCAAAAGTATCAACAAAATATAGGGGTGTTAATTTATGATTTGGGTGTATTTATTACTTCCTTGTCTATAAGTTGATATCATTTTACTCTCTGACTATATTATCTTATGATTTTTTATTTGTCAATTTTGCCCCCTCCCTTTAAAAGTATTTTATAACCACCACTGTTCAACACATGTGAAATGTTGTTGGGAAAGTGTAAAAATCAAGCAGTTTGGCAAAAAGAACATTGAGAAAAAAATTAACAATATGAACATTTGGTACTACAATTTATCTTGATGAGGGGAAATAAATATTATTGTGGAATAAGTATGAAAAGTGATATTTACTTAATATGCAAAAACCTAATTGAATATTTACAGTGTTTTGTATAAAATTAGACTTAAATTAAAATGGCATTATACACAAATATTAATTTTGTGGATCACCGAAATAATATGTAAAACTTTACATCATCTTAAGAGTAATTTTGAAATGTTAACTATTTCTACATCAAAAAGCACATTTTAGCTACAATGATATTGTTTTAAAATTGATCATTTGTCTATTTTTAATCTAGTTTATAAATCTTATATACATATCGTGATCTTTAACATCTTAATACTTTAATGACTTTCATTTTTATAAGCCTTTGACATGTTAACTTTTGTTTTATGTTACTAAATATACCATAGGTTAACATACAATATTTCTTTGTTTTAAATTTTAAGATCCCTTTTAAGGTTCACATCTCCTATCGAAAGTTTAGCTTTGAAAATTTAAATAAATAATAATTTATGTAATAGTTATAGTCTCGTAGCTTAAGAATGTCAATATATATTTTATAAGTTCTAGTATTTTGTTATAATAATTGATCACTTGTGTCTAATATTATTTAAAATTAAAAATATTTAACTCAATAAGCCCATTAAATTTTAATTAGATTATATTTTTCATTTTTGAGAATTTAATCTAAAGCCTACTTTTAATATAAATTACCTAAAATTTATTTATTAGTAGAACAGAAAGTATTTCATAATTCTCGATAAAAGATATTGGGTTGTCATTAAACTGATTAGATTTTAATAATTTAATTCTGTAAAGTTTTATAATTCATAAAAAAAATTAGTAATATTAAATGTTAATTTTTCAAGTAATATACGTTAAAATCTAAAATTTTTATATAAATACCCTAATTTTTAAAGTCATACATTAGTTAAATTTAAATAACATTGTGTAATATTTAATAAATGACGATTTACAATTTTATAAACTGCAGTTAAAATTGTATATTTAATTATATTTTAATAGTATCACATCAACTAATATGTCATTGATATTATAATTACGTCCGAATTACTTTAAATTTAAATAATAAACTTATTGATCCTGAGATTTTCATAAACAGGTAAACTGTTTTATCCCTTAATTGCTGTAAAAAGAATAATTTTTCAAGTTAAAATATTGTTAAGGAACTTCAATAAATAATCAAATAAAAATAATGGTACGATTTTATTTTCAATAACGTCAAGTTTCTCTTATTGCAATTCAAAATAACACTTATGTCGCCAGTTTGTTACACTTACATCAGAAATGAATTTCCTACTAAAGAGTGTAGTATTTTTTTGTCTTAAATACTATCGTATAATAATTTAACAATGGGGATATTGAAAATTACTACACTGTAACTTATGGAAAAAAATCAATTCATTTGATTAAATTTTCTACAATGGGTTTTATAAATATGCACTGGTAGTATTTTTGAATCAAAATCACATTATAAGATTTTAAGATGAGTTTTACTTTTTAGTGAAATGTCAATGGTATTTAAGCAGTGTAAAAAAGAAAAAATCCAAGTACGCACCTCATAAACGCTGAGAAAAATATTCGCATTATACTTTGTATCTATTTATATACTTTATTATGTTTATTTAGTTTAGTCCCAAAGGAAAAAAACCACAAAAGTTGTGAGTGTAAATCATTGTAAATTTGGAGCTTCGGTTTATTTGCTGTATGTATGACTAGTGCATATTGTATAGCTTTAATTTACATCCGACGGTTATAAAGTTTTAGATTGGTAAACGAGCATTAACTGAGTTAATTATTTTTGCAAATGTTGTCTCTTATGTGACTCCATGTCTGGGTTTCCAACGTTAAAAAAATAAAGTTGTAATGTTATGAACATCATAAAACTAAAATGAAACCCATGATAACATCAAATAGTTTACAAATATGAAAAGAATATATTTTTGGTATAACTCTTTCGTAGGCATGACGTAGAGGCTTTATGGTTGATCTTCTAATTAATATAAAGTAACAGATGATTTTTGTCTAAAGTTAATGTCGAGATTTGATAAAAAATTTAAATAATGTAAGAGACGGTCGGGGTTGAGATGTAAAATTGTTTATTTTATGAGAAACTTTATGAAAACACACGATAAAAAGGTCGCGTGTTGTTCTTATAAATTGTCACGCACATGAGCCATAAGAAGGCGTTATTATAAATATGACCGAACGTGACGTTAGCTAGGTAAGATTTACTGCGGTTGGGCACCGTAGTACAACACTTGTTAAATATTATATTTATTATGCGAATTTGTTCTATATAATATCTATAATCATAATTAACATGGTCAATAACAGTTCGTTACGCAGGTAATCCTCCAAACGATACAATAATAAAGTAGAATTTTCTTAGTTAAACCCAATGCGAATAAAAAATAACTTTTATTTGAGCTGAGTAGCAAATTACATTTTTCGTTGTATATTTTGTAAAGAACGTTTATAAAAATACTTGTTATATGATAATTTGTGCATATATTATAAACTTTTTTAAATTTCAATTGGTCTAATTTTGGCATCGAATAAATATATTCAATTCACAAAAATAATTCTAAAATTTAGCAGGTATTGATTTTTAATAAACTTTGTAATACCTTTAACTTTTTATTTTTGTAATAAGACCTTTATTTTTATCAGGACGGTCACTCTCAAACACGATAAAAACAGCATAGTAAGCGTACAGCTGCAGTTTCTAATTACTTTTTTTTTTTAATTGAACAATATTTATAGCTACAAAATACACAAAACCTTTAATTTAAACCATGTAAATATACAACAATCTTTTTATTTATGAAAAAATCAATAATACTTAGTCATAAGTTTTAATAAATTTTTTATTAAAAATATTTATGTATTGAAAAGTTAAAAGTATTTATCAACATACTAAATAGTCAGTAAAATTTATATAATTGTTTGATTACACGAACACTAAGATCTATAAGTTACTACGGCTTATTAACAAAGATATTAAATATAATTATAAGTTTTTAGTCAAGAGGAAAAATTATCATGAATATACAAAGCATACGTTTGCTAGTATTTATGATGTGTAAGAAGCTTTTGTAATAGGTGTGTCCAATTCATTTTGGTTCAAATGGGGTCAAATTGTCTAAATTATACATGTTTTAAAGCGGTTATGAATATAATATAAATCATAACTCACAAAAAATATACATTATTGAATAAGAATAATTATGTTTTGAATTTTTTTATCATACACACACACAAAATTATATAGGCTTTTTTTATAAAAAAAAATATATTAAACGTTTTGTAGGTTACCAGTTCATTTGTACCTAAATTTTATTTTGTTAGAAGAATTATAATAAGAATACTTATAAATAACATTTAGCTTAAGATTATTTTATATTTTCGTGAAACTTATTGCAAAAAATTATTTTCAATTTATACTTCCTTGTTTATAATGACGTTATGTAGTTTGTTTGAACGTTACGCTTTATTGTATTATGATAAAAGAATAAAAAACACGTTTTGAAAATAAAATTTCAAACATTGTAATACTGTACAATATTTTACGCGAAAACTAACTATCGTAGAAAATATTTTCTACATAAAAGGGATTTAAATTTGCATTACATTTTTTAAAAATATATTCAAGTACCTTATCTACAAAAAATAAACTAGCTTTTATTCCCTGACTATATTTTAGCTTTTATTTTTATCAATAGGAACCTATTTTCTAATACATCTATAAAGCTTCTCATTTTCTCCTAAAGGATTATAAAGGTACTACATTCTATTGAATTATAAATATTTTGCTATAGAGTTCAATCTACTTTTCAATAATTAATTTGTCGTTAGTTACAAAAGGTTATGGCATTTACATGTAGTACGTGGACACTATTTTTGAGTTCTATAATATTCAGAGTTAAAAATGTGTACTTGAGGAATAAAAGTAATAAAAATAATTGAACATAAAAATATTAAATCACTATAAAAACCACCATGGGGTAAAATTTATATTAGTTAGGTTTTAAAATGCTACTAATAGTGAATTCATCCAACACATCACTCACTAAGGGGCGATGAGTTCCATTGTTGATGGCAAAAAACTAATTATTTGAAAATAAAAATTTCTTTATTTTTTGGTCTAGTCGTTTGTTAAACAACATTGATTAAACTTTTCATTTAAAAACTTTATCACAATAAAAGTTTTCAACTAATTCAATTAGTATTTTTAAAATTTCGTAATCAAAGTTATTTCTCAGATCTCTATACAGAAATGTTTTTTTATTACGACCGTACTGCCCCAACTTTTTTGCAAAGAAACGCTCAATTTATTTTTGAATACTTAATTATTATGTTGTTTAATTATCTTAAGATAATTAAATAAAAAATTTTTTAACAATTAATAAAATTGATTAATTTTTAAAATATAACTTATAAAATAGGTCAGTTATTACATAGGTAAAATATTGGAAAATGAAAAACAGCAG